CACCCTAGTTAGATTACCAGACATGTCGGACGCTGGTGCAACGCAGAACCAAACCCAGCCGCAGACTCAAGCGGGCTCGTCAGCCGGAGGAGGTTCTCAGCCAAGCCGTCGAGGCAGATCAGGGAGAGGGAGAGGAGAAGGAGGCAACGGCCGTGGTGGCCGGCGAGGTGGCGGCAGGAATGCCAACCCCCAGCCCCGGAACCAAGCACAGCCAGCACCGGCTCCCGAAGCCTCAACAGAAAATGCACCCGAATCAGAGCCAGCGAGCTCGGGGAGGAGGGGCCGTGGCCGCGGCGGTAATCGGGGCGGCCGGCGAGGTGGAGCGGTCCGCGGTGGTACGGTATCAGGAACTCAGCGAACATTTGGAGGCAGCCTTACGACTGCTGTGGATCCAAATGCGTCGGATGCACACGGGCTGAGTGCGGATGCCCCGGACTTCGTTCCTGGGCAGCCTGTTGTCCACAGAGGGTATGTTCATTCTCACCAAATCCTGAAACTTGGGCTGACTGATATCACCAGAAAACAACCTGCGCCGAAGCAAAAGAAGCCTCAGTATCCACTGGCACCAAAATCTGTAGCCGCAGATTTACCCACGCGCATCCATGAGGACATCAGCAATGGCCAGTACGAGTGTGTCATTTGCTCCAGTGAAGTACTGCGGCCATCTCGCGTATGGTCCTGCGGGCTGTGCTGGACGGTGCTACATTTGTCTTGCGTCAAGAAGTGGTTCACGAGCCAACTGAAGAAGGACGACGACACGCGCTCTTGGCGCTGCCCCGGCTGCAATTCTAGTTTGACTGAGGAGCCGAGTGCTTACCACTGTTGGTGCGGGAAGGACATCAACCCTCGAAATGTTCCTGGTCTTCCTCCTCACTCTTGCGGACAGACTTGCTCAAAGCCCAGAGCAACATGCCCGCATCCATGCCCTCTCGAATGCCACGCCGGCCCATGCCCGCCATGCACCCTCATGGGCCCAACACAGTCTTGCTTCTGTGGCAAACACGAAGTGACGAAGCGTTGCACCGAGACAGACTATGGAAACGGATGGAGTTGCAAAGAGATTTGCGGAGACTTGCTACCTTGCGGCGAGCACTTCTGCGCTACTCCTTGCCACTCTGGCTTGTGTGGTAGCTGCGAGATTCCTGTACAGGCAAGATGCTACTGTGGCAAAGAGCACAAGGAGATTCCCTGCGATCGCCGCGACGACCTTCAGATGTCATTTAACTATGGCCAAGTTTCCAGCTCGGATTCCGAGGATGTTTCTGAGGATAGCTGGTTCGACGGCTCATTCGACTGCGGAGCGACTTGTGGGAGGAAATACGACTGTGGTTTGCACGATTGTGAGAAGACCTGTCATTCGCAGGACGAAGTGCCGGCACACTGCCCGTCGGCTCCAGATGTTATTGTTCACTGCCCCTGTGGCAAGACATCGTTGGAAGAGCTTCTCGAACAACCAAGACAGTCTTGTCAGGACAAGATCCCTCACTGCAAGAAGACATGCGACAAGATTCTTTCATGCGGTCACCAATGCATGGACACGTGCCATACCGGTCCTTGTAACACATGCTTCCAGAAGCAGGATATTTCTTGTCGATGCACCCGCATTGTGAGCAAGACCCTCTGCCATCAGGGAGAGATTGCAACTCCAATGTGTTTCAAGGTCTGCCAGGCCCAGCTCAACTGCAGTCGTCACAAGTGTGGAGAGCGCTGCTGTCCTGGGGAGAAGAAGGCAATGGAGAGACAGGCCGCCAAGAGGAAGCATAGACAGCAGCAGGCTCCGGACGAGGTTGAGGCGGAACACATCTGCCTCCGCGTGTGCGGTAGGACACTGAAGTGTGGAACTCACCAGTGTTCGCAAATCTGTCATGCTGGGCCCTGCCCAAGCTGCCTCGAAGCCGTCTTCGAGGAGATCAGCTGTGCCTGCGGTAGGACTGTCCTGCAACCTCCACAGCCGTGCGGGACCAGGCCTCCTGAATGCCGATTCGACTGCAGAAGAGCACCTCCTTGCGGCCACCCCACGGTGAAGCACAACTGCCACCCCGACGATGTCGATTGTCCCAAGTGTCCTTTCTTGGTAGAGAAAGCGTGCATCTGCGGCAAGCAGAGGATGAAGAACCGGCCTTGCTGGCTGGAGGAGGCTCGTTGTGGTCTGCCGTGTGGGAAGAAGCTCAAGTGCGGGTAAGTGATATTGACTCTAATACAGCATCCATCGCATGTGCTAACTAGATGGCAGAACTCACACATGTAGGAAGGAATGTCACCGTCCTGGCGAATGCGAAGACGCTGATATTCCTGGCTCTCATTGCGCCCAATCCTGCGGCAAGACTCGCAAATCCTGCGACCACTCGTGCCAGGACTCATGCCACGCCCCCTATCCATGCAAGGAAGACCGGCCATGCCAGAGCAAGACCTTTGTCACTTGTGACTGTCAGCACCGCAAGAAGGAGGTGAAGTGTATGGCTACCAAGACCAACCCAACTCCGGATCGCGACATCCTGAAGTGCGACGACGAGTGCCTTCGCCTCCAGCGCAACCAGCGCCTTGCTGTCGCCCTCAATGTCGATCCGGATCACAACGACGACCACATTCCGTACTCGGACACGACGCTCAAGCTCTTCCGTGAGCTCTCTCACACCTGGGCCCAGAACCAGGAGCGCGAGTTCCGCGTCTTCGCATCGGAACCCTCCGAGAAGCGTCTGCGCTTCAAGCCTATGCCCTCGTTCCAGCGCGCCTTCTTGCACGCTCTTGCCGAGGATTTCGGCTTCGACTCGGAGAGCCAGGACCCAGAGCCGCACCGTCACGTCTCCATCTTCAAGACACCGCGCTTCGTCGCCGCACCGAAGAAGACACTGGCTCAGTGCGTCAAGATTCGCACCGACGCAGCCAAGACAGCAGCAGCCGCAGCTGCAGCATCGTCTTCGGCGGCCGCCGCAGCGTCGGCACCAGAGCCCTTCAACGCCCTACTCCTCTCGGCTCCGCGCTTCGGCCTGACCATTGACGAGGTCGAGTCCGCCCTCGCCAACCATCTCAAGGCCTACAACACCCTTTCCTTCACTACCGCCTTCCTCCCGTCAGAGGAAATCCTCATCCGGGCGGTCCCCGTCACCTCCTGGGGCACTACCCCCTCGGCCATCGAGTCCTCTCTCGCGTCCCTGAAACCCCTCGTCGCGCGGACCGTAACCAAGGACGGCATCGCCGCAGCCGTGACAATGGTCCACGCCGACGCGAACCTCAACGTCCTCCGCCGCGAGGGAACGTCGGCAAACGGCAGCAGCGGCGGTTGGAACGCCGTCGTCGGCCGCGCCGCGGCACAGCGTAGGACCATTGCGCCCAAGCCCGCCGCCGACGCGCGTCCCGCCAGCGGCTTCGTCAGCTTCTCCAAGCTGGCGCGTAAGAAGGTCGTCGAGGACTCTGTCGCCGATGACTGGGAGGCGGCCGCCGAGAGCGATGAGTGAGGCGCGCCGCGGCGCCTCACAAGCTTCTCTTGCTTCGGCCAAGGAAGTTGTTAGCTTCTTGACTCTCTCGATCTTGAATGCAAGCAAGGAGGTGCCCTGGCGTGGCGGAGCTTGCAGCGTTGCTCGCCTTGCTTCTCCACACCTCCTTTGTGGTGTTGGCGATGTATCTACACAATGGGGAAGTCGATGACGGAAAGGCCAAGATTTGTTACGAGGTATAGACGGATGGGATGGGAGGTCCCAACAACAGGATGATATAATATAGTATTATTGAAAAGAAAAACGTGAAATACAGAAAAATGGAATATCAGAACTCAAGCGGAAAGATATGGCATCAAAATGAAGAGCATCGTGATATCAGAGCAGGGCGTGATGCGATTATCACCATTTACAACAACTGAGCATCCCCTCCCCTTCTCTGCATTCGTCCATCGTGACAAGCCAAGAAGGATCCTTTCTCTCCTTCATTCCCTTTCCCCCATGACCCCCGCGACATCTCACATCCCTCACATCAAAGTAAAGAGCAAGCGTCAACCGTCCAGCTCTCTGCCACGTCAGAGAAACACATGCATAAAACCCACAAGCTCTATACGCGAGCGACGGGGAAAACGGGATAGACGAACAAGCCCGGCCCCGGGACCCCAAGCATCCCCAACCCGGGTACGTCCTATCCTGTCCCCGTATGTTGCCCCCAAATTCCAACAAAGTCTGGCTCGTCGCCGGCAGGAAAAGGTGCCATGGGCATATCCCCGCTTGGGACTGGCCATCTACTCCGTACTTGTCCGGTGCGGATGGACGGGGGGCAAGGTTGACCCCGGCTCCGGACGATCGTGATAACCTCCTGCCGTTGAGCATCATTCCGCCAGATCGACGCGCCCACTTCTGCGGCGAACCAGTTTTGGGTATTGATTGTCAGATGCCTGACGGCAGATTGACAGGAAGGAGATGGGACGGAATGAAGTTCAAGGCCTGTCATTGTACTGTGTAGATAGAGCCCACTGCTACTCATGGGGACCAAGGTTGTCTGCTGAACAGTAATTACATTGCCTGGCATCCCTTGTTCTCAGGCCCCTGTTAACGGTGAGAGACATGGCCATACCCCGTTCAGGTCAGCATGTCACCGGCGCCTCACTTCATATCTCACATTTTGACTGGTTTTGCATGGCTGCTCGTACTCATTGCTTCATTATGTTTATGTTGCGTCTAAGATATGCTGTCGCATCCCGGTCCGTCATGGGGAGCGGGGGGTATCATTCTTTGAAGGACCAAAAAAGGTGTGTTGAGAGAGGAAGATCACCCGCCGCCACGTACTGTTTTCTCCGTTCCATGCCTTCTTTTTGCTGCCGCAGTGTATCCAGGTGATCGGCGCCTTCACAGGTCGCGATAAAGGGGTGGGCATTACATCAACTCATTATCCTTCATGGATGGACTCCTGCAGTGGAGCCGGCGAGACACGCCAGTGAAGACGGACTGGCGGTCCGCCTCTGCTTCCAGTATGTGAGCCACGTGCTGTTGGAACCGTTTCTCGGTTAGCAAGAGGTCCTTCTAGAGGCGCTGCTTCTCCTCCTTGCTTGTCACGCCGGCGACATTGCCAAGAAAGTCCGAGATGGCTTCGAAGTAACCCTCTTCCAAAACACTCGAGTTGTGGTCGCCTGCGGGCAAGGGCTTCCAAATTTTAGAGGGCGCGGCAGAGAGTTCGTAAAGTTGGCGCATGTGACGGGGTCTAAGACATGTGTTAGTCTACAAGAGGCAACATGTGAGACACGCGAAAAAAGCCGGTGTAGAGAAAACCAATATCAGACTCTATGTCGTAAAAATTCAAATCAAGCGTCCCGAAGGACTCATATTTTGTGGGTGGTGACTTGCGATCATCATATGGTGTAGGAGAAGAAGCAGGAAGAAAGGGTTGCATGACACTTACGGTACGATTTCGTCCTGGAGACCAGAGAGAAACAGGATCGGCACGGATGTGATGCTAGAGATGATTGATTCGCTTGGCCAGACTTGGTGGCAGAGAAGCGTCAAGTACTTTGCTGGTGGCAACACAGAAGGGATAAGCTTGCGCATGGAGAGGAAGGTGTTCTCCAAGATCAGGCCAGCAATATCCCCATCCTTTTGGTTCTTCGACACCAGCTTGATGCTGACAGCGCCGCCCAAGCTCTGTCCGTAAACAATCAGCTTATGGTTGCTCGTCTCTGCGCGAGATCGGAGGTAGTTGAGGGCGGTTTGCGCGTCTAGGAAGAGGCCGGATTCGTCAGGTTCTCCTGTTGATAGGCCGTAGCCGCGGTACTCGAGCATGAAAACGTTGCAGCCGATAAAGTTGATAAGCATGCGGGCGATTGGCAAGCGGTGGCCAATGTTACCCGCGTTACCATGGAACATCAGGATGGTGACATTGGAGTTCTTCCCATCGCGCGGGCCGCGGATGTAGAAAGCCGACAGCTTCTCGCCATCGTTTGTGGGGATGACGAGTTCTTCGAAATCCTTGATGCCATACTGTGAGGGTCTTGGGACATCGGTTCGAGAGTTTGCGGGCATATGCGAGGGGTAGATGAGAGCTCTGGAGCGGCACAGCACAATCAGTCAGTCGGTCGGTTCGCTGAGGGTGGGATGAGGAAGCGTCACATGGACATTTGGGGGTGGAGGGACCTACTTTTGCTTGAAGTAGAGGAGGCTAGTCAAGACAGCTGCGATACCCTAGGTAAGAGAAGACGAGTTAGCATGCAGCACTAGCGAGGCGAGGCAATCGAGGCACGACCTCGGGCTCAGGCCCAAGAGGAGGGGTTGCAGACAGGAAGGTTAAAATATCGGTGTGAGAAGATGGGTAGCCCGTAGGACGAGGAGGCGGGAATGGCCATACCGTCGAGGCTATGGCTGGTAGCCGCATGTACGCGCCAACAGTACTGAGCATAGACGCCGTCTGCTCGAGGTAACTGTTGGAGGACGGCGATGCTGAATTGGAAGAGGACATTGCTCGAAAGAGTCGCGAGCAAGGCGAGAGGGAAAAAGGCGGAGGAAAGATTATATTCGTATTTGCTGCTGGACCGTTCGGCGAGTCCTCAGAAAGGAATGGGCCTGTTTGATGGGGAAGGTAAGGCCCGAAGCGAAGAGAGAGAAGCGGTGCAGAGTCCAGGAGAGAGCGGAGTAGCCTTGCCTTGGCCCTTGGTCGCGAAGGCGGTGGAGGCCGATGCTAGCGGGGCATAGGTACCTCGGTACGCAGACTAGAGTGTAGCGGGTACCGAATGCGTGTTAGGCGTAGTCGATTGTTGGCATGAGGCGACTACGGACCTGGACCTGGTACTGGGACCGTCCGGGGCTCTCTTTCTGGACAACTGAGGTGTGGGCAGGATGGACGGACGGACGAACGAACAAGGGGTCGTGCACGAAGCGGAGGTGGTGGGTGTCTGGTGGTGAACCCTGGCTGGGGGAAAGAGAAAAAGAGGTTGCTAGCCGGAACGAAAGCGAGGATCGGAGAGCTGATTTGTGTATTCGTCGAATGGTCAAATGTGTCAGTATCCACAAAAGTGTCGTTTGTGAGGTGTCGCTGGCCTCTAGGTGTGTGTGTGTGTGTGTGGAGGCGATTAAGGTACTGTATATGCCCAGGAAGGTCGATATCCAGCTGTGCTGTGGAGGATGGCATCGACGACGCGAGAGGTAGGATTGGAGGTGGTGGTATCCGTAGTCGTGATGGTGGTGCGGTTTGTCTTTAGCAAGGCCGCATGATGCAGGTCAGGAGGGAGTTGTGCTGGGGCGGGATCTGGCAGCCGTGCGGCCGGGATGGATGGCCGATGGCTGTCTACTGAAGAGATGTGGCTGCGGACGGTTCAATGCCGCTGTTCTGTGGAATCCCCGTCGTGTCCAGTCTTTGGTGGTGAATCGTGGGATGATATTGGGGGCAGGAGGGGGCTAAGAAGTTGCGGCGGGTCTCCTGAGGCTTGTTGATGCCGCAGGTGACCTGATTTGGTGGTAGGCCGCAGGGCTGCTTTCGGAGGTGCACGGCAAACAAGGGTCGCAAGTTGCAACTTGCCAAAGGCTTGCCGGATGGAGCTCAGTGGCGGAGGTAATCAATGTGAGAATGGGGAGAGAGTCAAGAGATACGATATGCGATGCGATGCGATGCGATCGGTAATGATGGTGGGTAGTTCAAACTTGATAGGTACTGCGAATGTGCTAGCAAACGAAACGAAGCGCCGAGTCCGATGTCACTTCCACATCCGCTATTCGTTTCTACTTTGAGTTACGTCCGAGAAGATGATGGCTTTAATATCCGTCCTTAGGTCGGTCAAAGAGGCAGTGACGGAAGCATAAAAGTGAGCGTGAATTGAGCTCCCTGATAGGTTATGAGATGAAAACGTGTTCGCGGTCGTGTGTGGTTTCATTATGTTTATTTGTAAAACGCGACTAGCATGAAGCAATAAACACCACTCGATCTCCCTGCATGAAGCTTCATCAACAGCCGTCTACCTACACCTCTTCAAGCTTTGGGAGGTGTAGCTGTAAGGTAGCTTGGAACTTACACAGTAGGATAAAGTAGCTCAGGGGGGCGATCAATGCGAATGTCACCGCTTTCTGGCGTCGAACTATTACCCCGTACGCTACTAGCTGGCGACAGGAAGCAATCCTACATTACATAAGTAGCTTGCACGCGTGACCTGTCGGACTGATCCTCCTGCTATGGAAGATGAAAGTATAAATGGATTTTTTGGAGTGAAGACGAAGTTGCCCTGCTAATCTCGGACCTCCAGGTGCGCCGTGGTATGACCTAGCGGGAACCGGTGATTGGGTAAAGCCCGGGAAGAAAAGGGGAAGCAGCGACGGTGATGGGAGCTTCCCGATGAAAAACGACCGGCGGCATTCGTGGCTTGAAGTGGACTCTGTTAACATCCACCCTTCACCACCTCATGCTAGGCACTGTCAGTCTACCTTACGTATACCAACATCCTGTACATTCACAGCCCACAGCTCATTGCACATTGTCATTCATAACAGCGGGGGAGCGCGCCTTTCATTCCAGAGCAGTTGAGGACCCCGAGCTGTCCGGGTGTGCCAGTCACCGGACACCCAGATTCCATACCAGAATCAAAAAAGACAGGTGAGACTCCCCCGACTTTTATTGCGCTACCTCAAGGTACGGGTGGATACTGAATACCGACGACTATGTATGGGTTTCAGTGGTCGTGTCTTGGCCCCATCCAAGGTTCGACTTTGACCTCTGAGCTTCAGTTGGAGCTTGGCGTCCTTCCGGCGGGCTTCGGACTCCTTAAGCCCTTGGTGTTGAGTACCGTCTATCTATTCGGAGTACTGGCGTGGAACGACTTGATATGGTTCTTGGCGAATGGAAAGGCTCTCTGCGACTGCAGCGTTGGACCTGGGCTTTCCCATTCTTTTCCGCCTCACATTACATGCAGAGCAAGCAGATATGCCGTGCAAAAGCTCTGCAAGTCATTCCAACATCCACATCTCGGCCCCTCTACGGATACAGTACCACGATCACGTCGGAACCCACGATTCAATGACTTGCATCACTTTACTGCCCAGAGACGCCGGGGGCCAGGAGCGTGTGCAGAAGACCGCCCCAAGGCAAAGGGAAAAGCAAAAGCAACGACGAAGGATCTCCGGCAAGCGGCAAGCGATCCATTTATTTGGTAAAGATCAGGCGCTACAACGTATTACAACCAGCAAAAGTCACGGAGCTTCCCCAAGGTGCAAGATCATGAAAAGCTACTGCCTACACAAGCCGTCGTTCATGCAGCAGCGGAAGCTACAAGCACACAGCCGCCGATGCCATTGACCAACTTGTAACCAGCGGTGGTCGTTGAATCCTCCGTCAACTTAGACGCGCGCTTTGGAGGGCGCTGAAAATGCATCTCGTTTGGGCAAATTGGCGATGCACTGCAACTGGGGGCCCGTCATGCAGCCCGCTAATCAACGTACCAGAGGGCGATGTGACGGCCCTGTGGAAAATGCTAGGTCAAGGCCCAACGCGGCGGCAGCAGCCGTTCCGTTGTTCTGGGACTGTCGTCGTCATCTCCTTTGATTCGCGGCAGCATCCAATGCCTTCTAGACGGATAGGGGCACTCGTCGTTGGTGACTTTGGTCTCGTCCGACCCCCGGCCTTGCCTGGTCTTGCATGATGCTGCTTGTCTGCAGGAGTCAGAACAGCAGCAAGACGCCAGGTTGAAGGGGTTTCCGTGGCCGTGCTGGATACCCCTGGTCATGGAAGAAGATGCAGAAGCTCTTCACTCTACGAATATGCCCAGAATAGAAGCAGAGCCAGAAGCACCAACTCTTCTCTTGGACTTCTCGGCCCCTGAGTCGTCGTCTGCTAAGCAAGGTTCTCATCACCTCCCGTGAAACCGCGGCAGGGCGGGAACGGGGAGAGTGAAAGACAGGCCATCTCTGGCGACCCGAGACTACGCTACCGCCCGAGATCAACAGCCCCGCCATGTCGGTTCCAGGTTCCCTTACTGGCGATGTCTACCGCAGTATACGGATACTTCAAAGCCCACACCCATGCGAAGCCGCGCACTTCCTAGTTCACGATATAAGGCCGAACGGCGATGCATGGCGTACTACGTGTCACTGCGAGATGAGGGAGGTAGTGATGGTGCCTGCGTAGGTTCAGGGCAGAAGCAGCTAGAGCCCCGTTGTTAGTAGATTTGCGGCGATACGGTGAACCCACAGGCTAAGTAAGCCCTTAGCTTTGCATATCCACGTTCCTATTTCCACCTGGTCTCGCCTTATGAAGAAATGGGGGGCGGTCTACGGCTGCAGAATCTGAAGAGACTTTCCAGCGACATCGCAGCATTGAAATGGGACTTTACGGGGTGCCTACGGCCCTACACAACCACCATCAGGGAGTTAGGGTGAAGGACAGCAGTTCGCAGTGAACACCTCCAGAATACAGATTCGCCCAGCGTCTGTCGTCTCGCGGAAGACTGGAATGAGGCGGACGGATGTAACCACCCCCACCGTTCCGGACTCATTGATCATGATTGGGTTGCTGGACATGATCTGCCATCAGAGTCCAAGCCAATGACAGAGGCGCATCAGCTGAGTTTGGGATCCAATGGGCCACTCGAGACCATTGAATATGCTGAATGACCTTGGTTCCCCTGGGATACCGCCTGTCAACGGTGGAGGGGATGGGCGTGTGATTAGAAACAATATGTCAAGCTGCCCAACCTGACAGACCGTCAGTCTCTCCGAGAGATGCACTCCAGTCCAGTCTCCAGTCCCCAAGTCCCCACGCGCAAAAGAATCTGAGGAGGGGCCCAAATCCGAAAGGGACGAAAGGGCAGGGTGGTGGGAGAAGGAAGAAGGGAAAAAAAGTAAAGAAAAAGTTCACTGCGAAAAGTTTCGGCCGATTCCACTTTGTTTGCGTTGGGTAGAATTTGCAGTGCAGCCAGCTCTCTCTCAACCACCTACGCTTATCTCTATCTTACCTGATAATTTTTTTCTTCTCCCAACTTCATCCGTAGACCCAAAGAATCCAGCTGTTCGGCGCGCGCAAAGCTTTCTTTCGGTTCGGACGATAGAGAGATCAAAGTAATCTCAGCATTTAATCCAATAATTCACAGCACGGCCGCCATCTGCCATTTGAGTAACTTTTGGACCAAAAGTCTCTGCGCCATTGCCCCTCGATTCGGCACGCCACCATCCATCAGCTCGCCCATCCTCTCTGCCCGCCAAAACAAAAAAAAATCCCATAACCACCACAACACAACACTCCCGCGCGAACCAACTCTGGGCCCCCAGTTCAGCTCAAACCTTCTCAAATTGAACTCACTCAGCGGAGGTTCAGGAATTTTGCAGTCACTAGTCGCTTCTTGCGCTCTTGCCGCTCCATTGCTACGGACCGTTTCTGGATCAGTTGCTTCCTTCTCGGGAACAGACAAAATTGTGTTGCGTTCCTGCTGCCCGTCCCTCGTCACACTTTTTCCCTTCTCGCTGTCACTCACACTCACACGCTCTCCATCTCTCTCAGTCCGAGTCTGCCATCGGTCTCTCTTTATTACTTTTCCAACACAAACCTGAAGCGCGAAACACCACACTTCGCCCCTCCATTCCCCCTGCCACCCCTGCCGGCCAAACGCCCCCTTGGACCCCTCCAAATAAGGGATTCCAACATTGGAGATCGACGGCACAGCTGCGTATTTGAGACGCGAAACCAACACGGAGAGGAGCCCC